CTGCACCCCCCCCCCCAACCTGGGTGGTGGTGGTGGGTGAACAAGAGAAACCCTGGGGGAAGGGAGACAGCAGTGTAAGATATGAAATTAATAATTTATCAAGGGGCCATGAGGGGTGGGAAGGGGAAAGGAGGTGACAGCAAGGGCTCAATAGAAACTGTCTAGAAAATGATAGCAACATATATACAAGTATGCTTGATATAATTGATGTATGGATTGTTACAAGAGCTGTAAGAGCCCTCAATAAATTAAAAAAAAAAATTCAGTGCTAAATTCTAAAAAAAAAGATAACCAATAGGAATTTTACCTATTTGACCTTTCTTGTTTTATGTCTATATCCTCCCCATCCCACAGAAGGAAAAGGTCAATATTATTCTGTTCTAAAGCATTGTTCTTCACTACCAGTGTCCTTATCTTTGGCTTGTTTTCCCAATGTCATAATTCTTTCCCATATTTTATCAAGGTTGGCTCCAAAATCTAAAGCCTTTTTATAATCTTTAAACCACTAACCAAAAATATCCCCTGAAATCATCTGTAGTTTAATTTGTAAATGCCTACCTGGAACATGGTGTTCCTTTAAATTCGGTAAACAAACCAACAACTGGAAAGCAAAATTAGAGGACAGTGAGTTTATGTTGACGAGGAATAAGGAGGGGAATTGGGGTAGGTAATTGTCTCTGAATTGCACATACAGAAATGTTGCAGTTTTTCTGTACACTTTCAGTAACAAAAAAGAACAGTTCTGCTTGACAAGTGTCACAGAAGTAGGAAGACATCTATGGTTCAAAACCTCATCCACCTTCTTGTTCAGTAGGTTTTTGCATGTGGCACTAAAACCTTATGTATACCAGGTAATTAATTCCAATGACAAACCAAGCCTGGTCAAGTAACCTTAGACCTCAAAACTCATGCGCTTGTCTACTGCAAACAGCAGGGGGCTTTAACAGGAAAAGCCATGACCTTTGGACTAGATTTCTAACTTTGTAACTTATCAGCCACATGGCCTCGGGTAAATTTCCTCATCTCCCGTGAGTCAGTTTTCAGTAGAGATAGATGTACTGTATTCACAGGGTTATGATGTTCAGAGTACATTATCTAGTTGTGCCAAAGGCACAATAGGGCATTGGTGACCCATTTGGGTAACTTTCTTTTAGTCAAAATTACCTAAATGTTTAATGACATAGATATTAGAGGTACATACTAACGACACCCATACACCACATCATTATTCCACTGTTAAAACACAACTTTTAAGGTATCACAAAATAGTTCCTAACAAATTAGTTTGCCCACTGAGACAAATAGCTGGAAGCTGATCAGTCTAGTGACTATCAATTGATTATAGTTGGGTAAAAATCCTAACTGCATTAACTAGAACAAGACATTTAACCACTTCTGTGACTTAGTTTCTGTATTTGTTAACTTCAACACATTTGATGCCACAGGGCCATGAGAAAGAATTCCTGGTTTGACAATGACTATCAATATTTGGTTGCTAACTGAACTGTCTCGACTTAAATGCACCAGCTGCTATGAAGAGGTAGCATCTGTCCCCATATAGATTAAAGCCTAGAAAGCCATGGGGGCAATTCTTTAAAGGTTTTGAATCCGAATCAGTAGTGCTTTCGTGGCACAATTGAATAGTTTCTCTACCATTTGAAAAATAGACTCAAACCTCAGAAGACAGGCCTGGTGATATGCTTTGGAAAGACCAACAGGCTTGAAAATCTTACCTGCCCCTGTTCTGCACACTGGGTTAGTCAGAACTGGCTTGACAGCAAAGAGCAAATAAGGGTCAGGCATTTGTTAGGTATCACTTGTGATCATTAGTAACTTAAATTTTCATCAAGTGCTTCTCCAAATATGACACAGGTGGTTTTTTAAAAAATGAACTGTATATATGGCCTTACTCTGGCTTTGTCATTTCCCACTGAGGGATCTGTATTAATCCCTATACCTGTGTCTTCATCTGCAAAATGTAGCACCTAGAGTATCAACTGATATATGCATAGCATCTCTGTAACAGTAACAACCACTTAGTATTAATAGATTCCAGGAATGAAAAACAGTACTTTATCATTGAGTTTGTTTGAAAACTTAAGACATTTATAATTACAAGTATAAACTCACTGCTTTTTATTAGTACCAACTATATAAGTTAAAATTTGTGTAAAAATCCGTCTATCATGTATAACAGAAAACACTATCCTGCCCCCCCCAAAATTAAGTAAACAAGATTAATTCATCTATCTAGAAAACCACTTTACCCTAAAATCCTTGTAGCGGAACATAAATTACTTAAGAGAACCCTAAATTCACTTTCGTCACCAAACAAAAAAGAACCACCGGTTTGCATATTTTTATTTGGAAATGTTTTAAACAAAGAAACAAAATTTTAGCGACACTGCATATCATGAGTTTATTATAAAAGAGAAGACATGGAGATTATTTACATGATGACAGATTTCAGAACTTCAGTGGAATGGGCAGCTTCACATGATGCCATTTCAACAGTGGTCTACTCTAGTCCAAATACTTCCCAAGAATGTCACCATCTCGAAATAAGAAATAATCCT